GCTGTTTTAATGGTTTCCTTGATTTCCTCATAGCTACTACGGGATCTGACTGGCACTTCTGTCCTCTTGTTCACTATCCCTTTTCCAGTTCTACTCACTAACAGAGTGGATAAGTTTGTTTTTGTCTCTACAGATTGTTTTTGTCTCTACAGTGGGCAGACTGACATTTCACTCTGCTTTCTTGCCATTTAAATTACATACCCTGCTGTCATAAGTACATCCTTTTGTGATACCTAAAAAAAATAGATCCTAGTTATTAGAAGACACCTGAAAACTAACATGCCTATGTGCCAAAAAAAAATCTAAACATCAGAAAAAACACAGGTTTTATTTTCTTGCTTTTTGTTTAGAGAAACCATCTGGGTTTTTGGCTGCACAACAAATTCACAGCAAAGGCAGTTGATGCACCCCCAACACAGAAGTAGCTGATCCAACGACTCTCAGGTGCTGGGTTGCAGTAGAGGTTCTTATACTCAGACAGATGTCTGTAGTTGATGATGAAATGCAATTGATTCACTGATTAATTGCCTTCCCTTGAAGAATATTTAACTTGAATGGCAAGCAGGTCCATTTTACTCTATTTACCCTGCAGAATATCTTGAGATGCTAAAATACCAAAGGTATTGTACCCTCTGTTAAACATACTCATCCTCACTCCATGGGTTAAATGCTTGCTACTCCATATAATATTCTATGTAGCCTTCTGGGAATGAGCTGCAGTTTTACAGCTGGGTCTGTCAGCTCATATTATGAGAAGTGTTTCATAAAATCGTTCCTGGTAATGGGGAAAAAAAGAGGTGTTGGAAATGACACCACCACTTGGATGTAGAAGTGATTTGATAGCTGAGTTATCCTGTTGGCTTCATGTGTGTAGCTCATGTGCCTAAAGTTACTCGCTGTGTTTCCAGGATTGTCAAAAGTGGTTTGATTTTGCCATAATTTGGTTACTCTCTAGACATTTGGGAGACTTTTTGTTTTTCTCTCCTTGTATTTATTTCACTTCGGTAGCAAAGATCAGACATAAATTTATTAGGCTGATGTTGTTCTACTTTTTGTTCTGGTAAGAACAGTGTCATCTGGTGCTTCCTTGTCCTCCCAGGCTTTTAAAATATTTATTTTTTTAATTGTGCAATAGGTTAATTAACTAATTAGCACCATGTTGATATATATGGTCAGGTTTTCCAGGAAGTCCTTTATCTCCCTGTTGCTTCATTTTGGGTGAAGTGACTTAACAAATAGTCCAAGAGGCTGATTTCACTTGCCCTTCCTTTCCTTCTGGCATTAAAGCGCTTCACTTTCTCTTCCCTATGGTGGATGTCAGAGCGCTTCTCTTTAACCTGTCAACTAATAAGATGTCCTCTCCAGAGAATGTCTCTCATCTGTTTGTCTTTGTTGCCTCACCAGTTCCTGAAAGGTAATGTTCACTTGCTTTCAAATTCTTTCCATGGAAGTCAGTCTCATGCCTTGACTCCAGGGGCTAGTAGAATTCCTTAGGCTTATCACGCGCTGCTTAATTACTTAATTTGAGAGAACAAACTTGCTTTTTTGCATGATATAAATCTTCTCCTTAAACTCAGCATGACTCTGAGGATGCACACAGCCTTGTTGATCCAGAGTGCAGGTTTCAGGCTCTGGTGGAACTAGTTCTTCCCTGAAGATAAAATCTGCTGCACTTGGGCTATTTACCTGCTCCTATGGCAACAGAAGTGAATCTGGGTGAGGTGACCACATTTATTTTGACTAGTTTTTGCTAATTGTGGTTCTTGATGAGCGCTAGAAACCTGAGGCTGTGACCTGTAAAATGAACCACTCCTGCTCTCCAGATAAAATGTGGTTGATGGTGCAGGGGGTCACAGGGGCAAAGAGCAGTGCTTGGGAATTGTGTTGGAAGTCTGCCAGCAGAGGCTGAAGGTACAGCAGTCTTCAAATAAGATGTCCTTTGGTGCTTGCCCAAGATGGCCCTTCATGTAATCAATAGTCACCAACCTTCCGAGGAGGTGGGAAAGATGGGAATTGTTGTTGTGTTGCTACTCAGAAAAGCCAGATTAGCTCTCTTTGGCATCTGTATCCTGACCCTGTACAATCCCAAGAGGACGCTTGTCCTCTGGATCTCGTTCCCTCGTTGGCTGATCTGTGTGGAGCACCGTGGGGCCTACAGCTGTGGTCCTGGTTTTGGACAAAGTAAGGAAGCTGGGGCACACAGCTCTCTCTTTCTGGCCTGCAGTGGTGAGTGGTTCAGAAAGAGCCACTTGGCTGAATGTGTGCCTTCTGTGTTTCTTTTGGTATGCGTTTGTATATTTAATGTATACGTGTCCAGTTAATTATGTGGGAGACCTTTTCTAAGTCAAACAAATAAAGTCTTTACTGTGTTACGTTTAGATACAGTGTTCGTGGTGTCACTTGTAATTTCTCTGCTACAGTTCCTGGGTTGGGGGCATTTTTCTCATTTATTTGTCAAGAACCTGTCTGGATGAGAGCAGGTTTCTGTGTAACTGGTGAACTTCTTTGGTGAATGTTTGGTGGTATTTATTAAAACAAGTGTGGGCAGCTAAGTTCTCCACAAGTACAGTGTTTTGTGGCTTTGAGTACTTTAAGAGAGGCTTATTCATTCCTGCCTACTCGCTGCTGGAGTAGGTTGCAGAAGGTGTCCACTTTAGTTGTTTGGGGCTATTTTTTTATTTTTTTATTACTTTGCAGCTGAAATGTATCTTGCTGCAGCTATAAATGCATCTGACAAAGTGCCACCTTGCTTTTCCCTTCCATCTTTCTTATATAATTTGTACCCATCAGCAATGACATTTAATTTATGAAACTGAGTCCCTGTGCTACATTTCAGTTTTACCTGGTATAATGTAATCCTTGACATTTAAGTAACTTGCAAGCTCTTGTTTTCCATGCTCCCTTTGTTTGCGTGTACAAAAGCCTGTTTTAAAATTCCTGACCATGTTTCAGAATAAATCCAGCCTCTGTTTTACTTTTGGGCTTTAGGGTACATAAAAAAGTATTTGCAGTAAACAAAATCTTCATCTTTCAGTGTTTAAAATCCATGTAGCAATTGCATGTGTACAGTTTAAGAGGAGTCTATCTAATCCAAGCTTGTTTCACAGGGTATCTCAGGACTCTGTAGATCCTGAGCTTCTTTCTTTATAGCAATAGCACCACCATGACTTTCTGCCTTTTCTTTTTCTGCTTTAGGGAGATTCTCCAAGAAAGAAAGATAAGATTGTCCTTCCCCTCATTTCCCTACTACTTTAATATTACTAGTTTCTTGACACTTTTGTCTGTGCTCTTGCAAAATCAGGGAGCAGTCCAGGATTGAATGACCTCTTTGTGTCTCTAGAACTTATGTCCGCTGTCCTCAGCCTGCTGAAGAAATGCAAATTTGGAAATCCTCATTAATAAGCAAGGCTTAAGAAAAGCAGTCAGTGACTGTTGTGACCATCTTGGAAGAGAAGCCTATGGATGTAGATGAAATGGTAAAGCCTTTATGCCTGTAGCAAGGCTGGCACAGGTTTACCTAACTCTTTGCACAACACGCATTTCTCATCTTTCTTGCAAGTCTGGGCATGTGTGCTTGGGGAGTTAGGTTACAGAAAACCACAGCATGACATACAGCACTCAGCATCCAAATGTGGGCAAATTTGCAGTGCTTTTCAGCAAGATAAAGAAGTAAGAGAGTAGGTGGAAGTGTCTGCACAAGAACTTAGGGGCACAGTAGCTGCTGTATCCTAAACTCATCACATAATGTGTTAATGTCTTGAGTTTTGGAGATGTTTCTAATTCTACTCCTTTCTCCCTTTCCAGACTATCTGTCTGCAGTATCAACTTCTGCCTTTCATCTGACTTGTCAGGTTTTATTTTCTTTTTCTAAAACTTTAGAAATGTCACTGGTAGGAGAACTGTAGGCATAAAACAGCTCTCCTGTCTGCCTTTGGTAGAAAGCAGCAACTTCTAGATGACAGAGAGTGCTGAAAGCAATTATTTTATAAACACTGGGCAATTTTTTTATAGAGGCTGAAATTTCACTGGACATGTGAAATTGCACATAACCAGGAAAACACAACCAAAAGAATTTGTGCAGAAAGCATAGAGGCAAAATACAGCATTTGCATAATGCGGACTCTGGCTATTACAGAGAGCTTGAAACCTAGACCATAAGAAATGAGAGCTGATTTCAGTGCATTTACATCCAGTAGCAACAGGGGAGGATCAGGGAGGTCAGGTTAAAGATATTTCCATTTGTGAGTATTGACCCTATTTAGGGGAGGAGGGCTTTGTCTTTTTACTTTATTTAAAGCAAAAGAGCTTCTGAGTTGCAAATTTCCAATGTGTAAGAAAGAAAAGTATGTTGCACCAGTGGGCTGTGGACTGATCAGCATTTTGCATGGGCTTGGGGGTGGATTTGGCACATGCCTGCTGTATGTTGAATGAACACCCAGTTTCTTCAGCTATTTGATTTCCCAGACTGGAGTGGCTTTTCGAGCAAGGGTATTGCTCCTGCAATCAGACCAACAGCCAGTTGATTGCAGGATGCAGCACTAATACCAAGATGCTACTGTGGTACTTTCATTTAAAAGTGCCCAAAGCAGTACTCCTAGCCCAAGGGGTAAGACATATTAGTTACATGTGCATGAATACACGGGGTAACAAAGGATTAGGAACATGTCTGTGAGATCTGGTTGCTGGAACACATTGGATTATGTTTCTCCTGAGCTGGCTACAGACTCATGGCAGCATGGAGAATGGGGGAAAAAAGACTGAGCACGCAGGACAGCAAGCTGCCTACTTCAGAGCAGGATCCCACACCAAGCATTAGAAACAAAAGCTATGTATTTCACACCATCAGCATGTGTGGAATAGGAATGTCAGTTGTCTACGACAGCAGAGTTGCAGCAGAACAGGTCTGGGGTTTTTCACACTTGGGATTATGAGGAACATAAATGTTCTAGCTGAGGGTTTATAGAGACAAACCCTTGTGTCTGAGGTGTCCCCCTAGGATGCAAGAAAAAGTGCTGCTGCTTGGTCATAAAGGGCAGAACCCTATTTGTCCCACTTGCATTGTTTGGTGGGTGTTGTGGTTAAGAAAGCACAGCAGGGGCTATTTTATTGTTGTTATGCTCTGGCTTTTCTGAAACTTCACTACTAGAGGAAAGGATAAATAACTTCCAGGTACCTGGGATGAAACATTTTTTGGAGGGGATGCTTCCAAAAAGAAAGATTATTTTTTTAAAAAAACTAGTTCCCTGAGAAGTTACAACATATTTGGTGAAACTGTGTGAAATCTTAACCTGTAGGTGCTAGACAACCTTAGGAAAAGGGCACTTACATCAAGTGTTTGAAAAGAAAAGCTATTTAAACTTTGAAGGAGCTATTTGTTTTATTGTTGCAATATTTATGATCCTCTCTTTATAGGTTATGCAACCATTTCCTTAGTTATCCTTAATCTCCTACCAGAAAATCTTTCCCTTGGCTGACAGTCCCCTTGTGCTGAGCACTTGCACTACAGAAACAGAAAACAGCAAATCTAAACACAGCGTGATCATCTATAGCTGCCTTGCTAAATGCACAACACATCTGCAGAAGGATCAATTGCTCTGATTTAGCATGGCCATTAGTGACATTTTGCCACTGAAAGGAAGAAAATCTCTCTGTTTAGTGTCCTGAGGTATAACAGCAATAATCATAGGCATTAGAAATGGGAAAGGTCATTAGGTTACTTAGTCCATTGCCTCAATACAATGCAAGGCAATTCACCAATATAACTTTTCTAGGACTTGGTAAATTATGCTACCACTCGTTTGATGTTCTCCTTCAAAGTCTAACAAATCTCATAGGAAGGAAGTTTAAAAAAAAAAAAACACGTTTTGGAGAGCTACAGTAGGCAGATGTTCTGATGGGCATTGCATTGAAATAATGACCCATGTCCTAGCTTATAAAAGCACCTGCCACTGCCCTTTTACAATGAGGACACTGTAATATATTCACTTCCTTTGTTCTGTACTTATGACTGCACCATTTCAACAAATCAAAGTTTTCTGGAAGGAAAAGTTGGGATGATCTCTACTGGTTTTGCACCAAATTCTGCACCAGTTTTAAAGATGTTGATTCAGCCACAGAGCTAAAGTTATGCTTCTGCAAAGCCATATTAATTTCCCTTGACACTTAACCCAGTGGGGTTACTCTGGATTTAAACTGGAGTTACTGACAACCCAGTATGACCAACAGCTTCCTCTTTGCATCCAAGGAGACAGACTCACAAGAACAAAGAGAGAGACAGACAAGCACAGGCGCCAGCTACAGATGCTGCACCCTGCAGCCAAAATGAGGGTGTTGTTCCAGGCAGGTTCCATCTTGTTTCAAAATCTTCCACGTAAGTACTGCTTGGTAGAAGTAATTGGGAATTCACCCATGCACAGCAGTGTTGTTAACATGAGGACACCCTTGGAAATGCTGGAGGGTGTTTGCATTGAATATTGCTGCAAAAGCAATTGCTGCAACAGAAAGTCTTCTGGGGGAGTTGGGATCCCTCAATAAACACAGTCTCCCTGTCTTCTTAAACACCTTTCTGGTCTGGAATATCTTGGAAAAGAAGCTTAAATGTGTATTTACCTTGCTCTTTGAGCATTAGCACTACCCTGTGGAAGGTTACAACAGACACCAGGCCTGGGTTAGGCTCTGTAAGATCCTCAGTGACAATAAGCAATCCAGCAGCAGAAATTAAGTGTGGTATAAGCAGAGGAAGAAAACACACTAGAACTGAGCTGCTGAGGGCCCTTGAGAGGGAACACACTTTCTTTTTAGCAAAGCCTTTGAATCTAGAACTGCAGTCATAAAAGAACATTTTACTCTTTTTCAGGAAAAAAAAAAAGAAATCTAGCCTCAATATAATGATGACTTTCTTCTACTATCCAAAAGTCTCTTTAGGGCAAGACTAGAAGAAAACCCCTGTGATTTTCTGAAGCGAGGAAGAAAGAACCTGGTGTTTTTAGAAGGGCCATTTGTGCTTGATGAAATCCACTGGAATTTTGATCACCTCTCCTTCCTGATGCAAAAAGAAAATTGGAGAGCAGACCAAATACTGTTGTAGCTCCTGAGAAAATGCATCTTCTTTTATCCAGTGGTGCCTGCACACAGTTTATCAGTGCGTCCAAAAAGATCATCTCCCAGTGCCAGGAGGTCCTGTAGCTGTTCCTAGGTGTGGTCCTGAGGGCTTTGCCCACACACCTTGAACTCCCAGCAACTGATCCCGTGGCAGATTTCCCTTGAGGAGGTGACACAGAAGGCCGTACTCACAAACCTGGGTTGACTTTGCTGCTAACTGTTGCAGAAGCAGAGCTGGGACAGTGAGCCGCGGGGTTTCCCAGTAATCAGCTTGGAGTAGTAAAGAAAAAAGAGCTTGGCTCACCCAGCCTGGCTGCTCTTTGTTCCCGAGCTGCTGGAGGCAAAATCACGGGAACGGCTCTTGCCGCCTTCCTCAGGGTTCACACCACCTCACACAGGGTGACCCTGGGCTGTTTTGCTTCACAGCTCTTCCTCCTGGCCCTCACACTCCGCTGCTGTCACCATGTCCCTTCTGCCTCCCCACGCAGCTCTCTCTGCAGGGTCCTGGCCAGGGTCACCCTGCAGCTGATGGGGCGAGCAGAAGAGCGCAGCTCCTGAGAGCTCCCCGTGAGGACAGAACGCGCCCTTCTGCACTCAGTGCTGGCCCACCACCCGAGAAACCTCCCTAACAGCTTCCCACTCCCTGCCACATTAAGATCCCCACATTTTCCCCACCATCACCTTCATTCTGTAACCACATTTTTCTACCAACCTGTTTTATGTTGTCTTTCAGCAGGTTTTTTCCTCTATCTGTCTTAATGATGATGCTCCCTTACAGAATTATTCTTGCTTTCTGCCCTCGGGTCCTGCCATCCTGGACTCTGGCCCTTTTGCAAGTGTCAGCAGAATATGCAGTTAAAACTCAGATATGTGTGGGGTTTCTGGTGACTTTTTTATTGTTTTTTATAAAAATGTAACTGTATGCTTCTCCATGCAACACTGGTTTTGGAAACTTTGGGAAGAAAGCCATGGAGGGGGAATAATACAACTGCTTTCCAGAGAGTATGAGAGTACAAATAATCATACTGCATCTTTAAATTCCTAATCAAAACTTATAGTAACTTTTGTGGTTTGGAGGTTGCGGGGTTTTTTTTTGGTTTTTTTTGTTTTTCTTTTTTGCCTGAGCTGCGTGGAGGAGTCACAATTTTCCACATATTAGGAAAGGAAACTTTATTTTTCCTTTATTTTATTTTCTGCCCTGCATTCTGCACAGTCCATTTCCCCACCCCACAGTAACTGTTCAGTCTGTCCCCTGTTCTGCAGGTGCCATCCTTGTTTCCTCATCTGCTTTTCTGGCCAAGCATTATTCCTGCTCACTGTCCGTGTCCATCTCACCAGACCAAAGAAAGGCAGACGCTTTGCCATTGGTATTGCTTTTAGTGCTGCTGACAAGTGCAGACAGAACTGTGCTTTTCTACTATGCATAGTTTCACTTCCAGACTAAGGAGAAATGGCAGCCACTCTGCTCCCTTTGATTTCATTAATAATAAAGGACAACAGGAGCCCTTTTCAATGAGGAAAGAGCTCGAGTTAAAAAACTAAACAGCATACTCAATTAATTTAGAACAACAGCGAAGCCTTGGAAAGCTGCCATCTTAAATTACTACACAGATACAACTCACAGAAAATAATAATAATTTAAGAAACAAAAAATAATCCCGTGGTCTTGCTGTCCTAGTAAGAGTTTGCTATAGAAGTACAGGTGGGAGCTTTCCCAGCATCAGTATTGATCATACCTGTGTGATATTTCCCAAGAACAAGGGCATATTTATAGCTCCTGTAGCACAAGGAAGGAACTGGCAGGAATGTGCCCAGCCCTCTTTTTTCCTCAAAACCTGATTTTTCTGTTGGGAGGGAGCTGGGTGGCATAAATGGGTACACAAATGATGTTATATCTGCTTTCACCTACCTATACTTCAGTTTCCATTTAGATTCAGCTAAAGGGGACTCAAAACAGTTTTGTACAGGCTGCTACTGGTGTTGAATATCATAGCTCCAACCAAGCTGGTGGAATGGGAACGTTAAAAGTTAATTAAAATCTTGTCTGAAGAATTGCACTACTTCTAGCCTCAGCATAACTGCTAGCTGATAACTCCTATATGCATGCTGGTTCACTCTCAGGACTAAACATAGCAGAAAAAAAAAGGAAAAAAGAGACTGTGTAAAAGACTACAATATTTTTCAAACCATTTTCCTAATTGTCTGTTTTTTTCATTAAAAAACCTCCATGTTAGCATTGTTTTGCTGAAAATAGCTGTATTTAAAATAGCTTCAAATAATGTTAATGAAGCATTGTTTTAATTTTGCCTCCAGGAAAAACAAAACTAAGTAGTATTATGAATTATTCTCCATTTAAAACCACTGCCATCCTATTAACAATTTTTTCCCTTTAGCTGTGGGCTGACAAAATTCTTTCTCCCTTTTCCTTCCAACAATATAATGTGAGCATGACAGCACAACAAATTGAAACTTCTGCTAAGTACTTTGCCCAAGATGTGCTCTTGTTTCTATTGCAGCTGCATGTCTTTCCTGGGCATGATACATAAAAATAGGCAATGTCAAAATAAGCCTACTATATTAAGAACAGTGAGAGATGTGGAGGTGTCTGACTGGGACTTCAAGCTCAGGTCATGAGCACTTACAGTCATTAAAGATATTTTTATGGATTTTTGTAAAGCAAGAATGTTAGCACTAATCACGTGACCAACACACAAATTTGAAAATTACATCTGACATATCCCTAATTTCCTCTTGCCATTTAACTTAATTCTAGTATTCATTACTTTCTTTTCCCTTAAATTGCTCTTTTGTGTTTCTTCTTCACTATGGGTGGCTTAGAAAGGAAAAAATAATTGTGTTGAAATCTGCTCTTCTCTATTTTAAACACAAATTCTTTTTTTCTATCCTGATTTTTACAGCTCCCAGGCATACAAAGTATTACTTCCTCTCATTTGCTTGTTCCCTGAAAAGTTTTATGAAGGATGCACAAGAAAGGCTGAGAAAATTTCTCACCACTCTATTGAAGGAAATAGGAAATGCTGAATCCTTAGCATGTGTCTCTGCTGAAATTAATTATTAGAATAAATATTTTTAGATATAATTTCTATTTAAACAAGATCAAAATATTTGTAAATATTTATGTTTTATTGCCCTCATATATTGATGCCGTATGCCTGCTGAAACTTCCCTGAAGTCTTCTAGGAAAAGGATGAATCAAAAACCAACTTCCAGGGGAAAGATGTAAGAAAGAAAATAATCTAATCAGTCTGTGTTTCTATAAAACAAGAGCACATCCATTCTTTTATTACTTTTTCTGTGAATCATCTTTTAAACAATGGCAATCTGCTTTGTCAATGCTGCCTGCATTTTAGACACAAATAAAGTACAGAATTGTATCACATGTTAAATGTTATACCTTCCTCATGAAAACACTTAAACATAGGACACCATAAAGAGCATCAGCACGCACTTGATTGTGGCTTTCCAAAATGTAACCTTTCTCTTAATCGCTATGCAGGTAAGTAGTTGGCTCCTTTCTGTGTCCAAGACAGCTGCTGCTTAGGGCATCCAAAGCAGAAAAACAGGCAGGGTTAGCAAAGACCTTTTCTAAAAATAACAGCAGTTTTTAGTGACTGAATAGCCAGAGTTCGTTCAGATACATTGATTTAAAAACCTAGCAATGTCATGTCATGGCACTTTTAGAAATAATAAACCAGAGTCAAAACCCCTGACTACAAATTCCAAATATCAAAGATGTTTCTAAACTCTTGTCCTCTCTCATTCCTGCACCCAGAATTGTCCCAAGCTGGCAGCACTATGCTTGTTTAGAGAAATGTTCATGCAGGTTTTTTCTAGACTGTATCCCTGTCAGACACAGTATTTATAACAGTATTTATACCAAACTTAAAAAGAATAAAAATAAACTTAAAAAATAAGAGGTGATGTACTTTCACAACCTAAGAGTCAAAAGGCTGTGGAATTGACCCCAACTCTGAAGTCTGTCGCTCTGGCTACAGTCTGTGTGAGGTCTGATACTTGGGATGTCTGCAGGCAAAGTCCCAGCCTGTTTCTGCGGGAGCCATACTGCAGTGAGGCCACTCCCCAAAGCTATAATGGTTTTTCCTCATCACTTCTCTATCAGAAAGGAAAGACTTTCACCCCAAAGAAACCCAACCTTTCCCAGCACCTGGAAAGGCACCACAGTGGTAGTGTAATACTGACACCCAGTGGACGAAAAAATGCAATGTCACTGCCCAACTTGGTCCCATTTTTGGATAGGATTGGTAGTGGGGAGGTATGAAAAAAACAGGAAGAACTATTTTGTTCCTAAGCATTTGGACTTCATGAGAACCAGAACCTGTTTAGGGGCTGTGATTCCTTCCAAACTCACAGGTGAACCTGGGAGCTCTTGGGTCATCCATTATAGCTTCAGAAAAACCAACAAAATCTGCTTGCTTTTTACAGTTTAAATTTGTTTTATAGTGTGAAACTACAGGTACAATGGAGAGTGGTATCTTATCCTCCTCCAAAATGAAAATATCTCGTTCCCTAGGCTTATGCAAAATAAATCATATTCCTTCACCTGCTACATGCACACCATAACCCCGAGCAAAACATAGGAAGAAACACCCACAAAAGAACACCAGTAAGTGGAAAGAAAATTTAAAAAGGGAAATGATTTTATTATTTTTTTACTAAAGACAAAGACAAGGTCAGCATCTTGGACAGATCCTTCTCTCCCAAAACATGCAACCTGTACTCTTGGTTTATTAGTGATTTCTGCTTACAACATGAAAAATACATCTGGATTTTTCAGTTCACACACATCAAATAAACTAAGAGAAAGAGAGGCAAAGTGCATCCAAAAGTTGTATTACTAACTCATATTGATTTATACAGAACCTTTTGTATTCCTTACAGCACCACAGCAACAAGTATGTGCATATCCAGTATGAAGTCTTATTCATATTAATGGGGCTCTTTTCCCACCAATCAATGTAAAAATCAATTACCATTACTGAATGGAGAAGCCATCAAAAGATTGACTCCTCTTTACTGACTTGTGTAACTTGATTTTGCGGGGATCTTGTCTGCTGTCTGTGCCACCAGCACACGTGGCTTTGCTGTGCTGGCAGCTGTCCCTCCTGCTGGTGACTAGCCTGCCAAGGGCTCTGTGGCTCTTCTAAGGTCATGTTTTCACCGAATACCCACAGACCTGTTCACTAAGGTGACAGGCACATCCCATCTCTAGAGTTCTCTGTTCAGCTGCTCTACGGTTCTGCTCATCAGGTTGTAACA